AAAATTACATATTTCAAACGTGTGCTACAAGAACCCAAATCATTGTACAAATTCAAAGTTTCTAAAGGAAACACAAGAATCTCCAAAATTTGACTAACTCTGGCTGATATCAATAGTTTCTTCCATCGACGCAGAATTACTAACACGATAGCATGGTTCCAAAAAAATATTCAAACCTTTTTTTTTTTTCAAATTTAATTACACCCGATTTAGATGAACCTCTTTTGAGTTTTCTATTTGATTTTACACGCTTAAATTTTGTTGAGTTCCAGGTTTTAGTTCTTTAACTGGGAAACAACGAAAATGTCAAAAGCAAACCATGAAACTTGAAACCAGTTGACGGTACAGACGCATATGTTCTCTTCCCTTTTCTTCTCAACCCCTCTCTTCCACCAGCAATCAGAATTGAATTCAATACTTGAACCCTGTAAAACCCGATAATAGGTAAAAACTAGTGATGTGTATGCAAATCAATGTTGCCTAATTCCCATTTTCAACAAGTAAGAAAGTCTAAGTTCGGGCGGAGCCGAACACTAAACACCCGGCGCAAGTATTAAATATATGTTTTTCACCCTTCCGAAAGCTACCGCTACATGGTAAGCCGGGGTGTATAAATTTTGAGTAAATAAGCTTCCTTAAATTTCGAAATATTGAAGTTTAAAGAATAAGCATATTGACTTTAAAGCGAAAATGTACCGTTATATGAAAGCGGCCGTAATTTTAGACCGATTTCAATAATTTTCAATATTTTGCTTCTATGTGGCAAGCACAATAACCATACCGAGTTTGGTAGAAATTGATAGAACGGTTACCGAGATACATATATGTGATCATAAGTGGGCGGTGCCACGCCCATTTTTTTAATTTTATCATAAACGTATTTCTTGGTTAAGAATTGTTGCAAGCATCAATTTTGAATAAATTAGCTTTAATATTTACTGATTTATCGAAGATATCGTATTTCTCTAAATTACCGTTATATGGGATGTGGGCGTGGTTATTGTCCGATTTCTAAAATTTTCGGTCATTTGGTATGCTGTATCAAGGCCAACAACTGTGCTAAGTTTATAAGAAATTGATGCAGCGGTTACCAAGGTATACACATGTAACCATAAGTAGGCG